CGCCTCGGCCTCCCACAGTGCTGGGAATGTTCCATTTTTTAAAGTACCCAGTCTTTTTCCCCAAGGCAAACCACAGCAGTTTACTGGGAAAACAGGCCCACAAGGCTTGTGTGTTAATCTGAAGCCCTTTAAGAGAAACTTGGGGGTTAATTACCTCATCATCACTGTGTTTTATGATGGGCAGGTAGAAAAACTGGCTGCCATGCTCCTTGGGCAGGATGGAGTTCACTCCGGATGCATGGGGGCCGACAAGCTGCTCATTGGCACTGAGGTCATCCGCTAACCACATCCGGGGCACAGAAAAAACAGCAGGGGTAAGTCAGTTTTTAAGCAAACATCAGAAATTTAAATATACGCTTTTAACAGTTGAAGTTAACACACGACACGTTTAATTTTTTCTTCCATTCCTTAACCTGCATTTGAAACAGAGATGCCAAGACTCACAACAGTTTTTTTTTCTTTTTTAAAAAATTATTTTTTAATAGAGGTGAGGTCTTACTATGTTGTCCAGTCCGGTCTTGAACTCCTAGGCTCAATCAATCAATCTTCCTGCCTTGGCTTCCCAAAGTGCTGGGATTACAGGTGTGAACCACTGTACTTGGCTTTTTTTTTTGAGACAAGGTCTCGCTCTATTGCTGAGGCTGGAGTGTGTGGCCTGATCATAGCTCACTGTAGCTAGCTTTCAACTCCTGGGCTCACGATCTCCTGCCTCAGCCTGAATATCTAGTACATGCCGCTAGGCCTGATTAGTTTGTAAAATTTTTTTGCAGGCATGGAGTCTAGCTTTGTTGCTCAGGCTGGTCTCCAACTCCTGGACTCACGCAGTCCTTCTGCCTTGGCCTCCCAAAGCCCTGGAATTATAGGCATGAGCCTATTGTGCTCCACAGCTTTTATTCTTTAAAAATACGATAGGAGTTGGCTGGGTGCAGTGGCTCATGCCTGTAATCCCAGCATTTTGGGAGGCCAAGGCAGGTGGATCATGAAGTCAGGAGTTCAAGACTAGGCTGGCCAAGATGGTGAAACCTCATCTCTACTAAAAAACAACAACAAAAAACCAAACCAAACAAACAAACAAAAAAACATCAAAAAATGATAGGAGCCAAAAAGTTGCCTTGTGAGTCTCCTATAAGATGGAATGAATATATTCCATTGTTGTCCCAGGAGCAAGTATGTTCATTAAACAAACCTTAGAGGCTTGGTGTGGTGGCTCATGTCTGTAATAGCAGTATTTTGGGAGGCCAAGGAGGGTGGATCACGAGGTCAGGAGTTCAAGATCAGCCTGGCCAAGATGGTGAAACCCCATATCTACTAAAAATACAAAAATTAGCCAGGCGTGGTGACAGGTGCCTGTAGTCCCAGCTACTTGGGAGGCTGAGGCAGAGAACTGCTCGAACCCAGGAGGTGGAGGTTGCAGTGAGGCCTGGGTGACACAGCAATACCCTGTCTCAAAAACAAAAAACAAAAACCCTTAGAATTTTGTTGCTTTCTGATGTCAATTCCTCCTGTAAACTGTTGTTAGGTTTGTTGTCCTACCTAATAACTTACCATAAATTACAGATTTTAGCAGTTAAATTATCAATTTAGAATCAAAGTTCTGAGCCCTTGGGAGAAATATGAAGATTATCTTCTTCCAGCGTCACAACATCCTATCTGATATGGGGTTTGCCCTTCACAAATCTCTGTAAATTGTCAACCAGTCTTTGTTTATATACCTTCCATGACAAGAAACACATTCTCTTATGAGGCATACATTTGACATCCAGGCTTTAAAAAAAAAATTATTCACATGAAGAGCCAAAGCTACCCTCCCTGTGTCTTCCATCCATCCATAACTGGGCTTCCTTCCAGAACAGAGATTTTCAGGCTGTGTTTCGAGGAGCCCTATGGCCCTGCCAAAAGGTCTGCCAGGAGCCTGCCCACTGCTAACTCAGCAACTCTGCTGTTGTTTTCTACACATGGGATTCCATTTAATGTTTTGTTTAGAAAAGGATTTTACTGCTAAAGCACATTGGAAACCATTGTTCTAGACTTGTCCAGCATCCATCTTTGAAGGACTACCCTTAAGGCAGGGTTATACTGTGATCCTTTCTGCCATCAAAACTATTTGAGGAGCAGAGTTAAGGGCACTAGTCAGAAATGCAGATTCATAGGCCCCTGCCAAGCCTAAAGACTCAGAATCTCTGGGGGTGATTATTTTCCAGGGGAATTTCTTTGTCTATTGTTTCAGCGCAACTGCTTTAATGCTCTTGTACGCAGTTCTCAATCACCCTACGTTCTCCTTTTTTGATTAACTATACACATATCATGCTTATATATTTGATTAGAACCAAAATGTCACTTAATTTGGCATGTGAGTGATTAGAAGAGCGATTTAAGGATCAAAATAATGTGAGTCTGAATAGATTACAAGCCTTAATTAAATACAATAATCCCTGTGACTTTAAGTGTCTACTTACCATTCAAGTCAAGGAAGAGAACTGGTATGTGGGTTTCCATTCCAGGAGGTGGAATCCTAAATTTAATAACAAAATTTAATCACAACAAAATACGTATTTTATATTTTATTAGCTGATAAAATACCACAGAGCTGTGGAAGCGAAGATAACCATGGCAGAGATGCAGTTTCCACTAATGAAATACTTTCATATTTCTTGACATCCTTGTAGACATAAATCATGGCAATTAGATGAATTATATAAAAGAACTTCCAGTTATATGAGTTGCATGTAATTAATTGAAACAAAGATTATGTGAAGCCTTTCTAAAAAGAATTCCAGTGAGAGGGAAAGGGAAGGGGATGTTGTTAGGGTGGTGACAGGGGACAGTATCCCAGTCTAGAGGAAGGAAACAAAAGCTCAAAGAAGAACAGAAGGAAAGACATATGAAAGGAGGCAGGCATGTGGACAGAAGACACTGACCAGTGTTTAATCAAAAACCAGCGCAGGGACAGGTGTGGTGGCTCCTGCCTGTAATCACAGCACTTTGGGAGGCCAAGGCAGAAAGATGGTTTGAGGACAAGTTCAAGACCAGCCTGAGCAGCACTCACTTGTCTCTACAAACAACAACAATAACAACAACAACAAAAACTAGCCGGGTGTGGTGGCACATGCCTGTGGTCCCAGCTACTTGGGAGGTGGGAGGATGGCTTGAACCTCGGAGGTCAAGGTTGCAGCGCATCAAGATCGCGCTACTGTATTCTAGCCTGGGAAACAGAGCAAGACCTTGTCTCAAAAAAACAAAACACGGAAAAAGCCAACTTGTCCAGCTGCATCAGAGCTACCTCAGAGGCCTCTTAAAAAGTCCCTTTAAAAATGCAAATTCTTATTTAAAACAATTAAAAAAGAAGAATCATGGGTCCTTCCTTTCTCTTCTGAATCAGAATAACTAGGGATGAGACCCAGGCCTACATGTTACAAGCACTCAAGATGATCTGAACTTTGAAAACACGTCATATGAGAGAGACTGAAGTAAGGAGAAGAGCTGTCTAGAGAGGGCTTTGAGGGCCAGAACAAGATTGGGGTGAGCAGGCTGTCCATAAGAAGTGGCTGGCAGAATTACTGCAAGAGACCTACAGGATTCCAGCACAACAGCAGTATCTGCAGGGAGAAACATCAGCTTACAAATTATGTGCCTGCAGATTCAGAGTTTCTAGTTTCATAAAACATATCATGAAATTGATTACATTTCCATTTATCATTAGAGATGCAGGTATTATCACTAATGTTTCTACACTGTTCAAAAGGAATCTGATTTTCTCTTAAATGCCTTGGACATATATAATAAAAATGAGAATAAGAAGCAGCAGCAGCTAGGATTTACTGAATGGGCATGAAAGGCATTTTACATACATTATAATATACAAAATAATATTTTAATATGTAAGGTATTATATACACATTATCTCTAATTCTCACAATACTACCAAAAAGGTAGCCCCATGAATACATTTTCTGCCCTCTTCAGATACTTTCCAACCAAAATAAAAGAATTTCTAGAGATCAGGAAACCATGTTCGAGTTGCTTATGCAGAAGAATAGAGGAATATGGTATGTGATTCCTGGCCAGGTAATCAGTGCTCTCTAGCTTCCTGTGGGAGAAAGTTGGCTTCAGTGGGAAAGCAAAAAAGGGACGGAAGCACTGGAGATGAGTGGACATTCCCTAAGCAGCTCAGCTGGTTGGCATTTGCTGTGACAGTCCTGGAAAGTCTCTTGCATGGCTCTTGCCACAGGCGACCTGTACCATCTCCCCAGGTCTGCACAGAAGGAAGGGCAGCCTTACCAGTCGGCAGGTGCTCCCGGAATCCCACTGCCTGGGGCAGGCACCAGCACAGCATTCCTTTCCTCGGTTAGCCCTACCCACTGCTCCACAAGCTGGGCTTCCCGCTCGACATCGTCCTCTGTTTTCTCTGCAGAACAAAATGAGGGGACCAATGCCAACAAGAGAGAAAGTACAACTTCTCCATTTACAAGGAACAGATATCAGCCTGGGCAACACAGTGAGACCCCATTTCTACCAAAAAAAAAAAAAAAAAGCAACAGCTGGGGAGGGTGGTGACATGCATGCCTGTAGTCCCAGATACTCAGGCAGCTGAAGTGGGATGATCACTTAAGCCTAGGAGTTCAAGGCTGCAGTGAGCCATCATCACACCACTGCACTAAAGCCTGGGCAACAGAGCGAGACCCTATCTCAAGAAACAAGCAAACAAAAACAATAAACAGATTTCATTTAGTGCTATCCATAAGTGGCTTTAACATCCGCTACGTCCCTTAAATGGAGTGGAGCCTGTGAAGTTCAAGCAAGAGGATGTGTAGGGAGCTGAGAGGGGCTGTGACACCAGTTTTAGAAACCATAAGCCAGAAATAGCAGAAAGAGCCTTGGAACAGCAATTAGAAGACTCAGGTTATTTTACTGGGTCTGTAATTTGGGGAAGTTATTCAACAAGTCTCCTCAACCTGTCAAACAGGGAAACAGAAGTCATGTCTACTTCACATACTTGCTGGAGGGATCAAATGAAATATGGATGTGATACTACTTTACAGAACTATACATGACTTTAGAAAGACAGAGGATTAAAAAACACCAAAGGCCAAACACAGTGGTTTACACCTGTAATCCCAGCACTTTGGGAGGCCGAGGTGGGCAGATCATCTGAGGTCAGGAGTTTGAAACCAGCCTGACCAATATGGTAAAACTCTGTCTCTATTAAAAATACAAAAATCAGCTGGGCATGGTGTTGGGTGCCTGTAGTCCCAGCTACTCAGGAGGCTGAGACAGGAGAACTGATTGAACCCAGGAGGTGGAGTTACAGCAAGCTGAACTTGTGCCACTGCACTACAGCCTGGGCGACAGAACGAGACTCTGTCTCAAAACAAAACAAAACAAAAACAAAACACACCATATACCTTACTCTGTAAAATCACCTTTATTTTCCTTAAGGCTTATCATGAAAGGGATTTTATTTGATATACTTTGAAATCCTCTTACTCATAATTCAATTCTGGGGCTCCCTGGGTACAGGCAAAGTGAGTTTTCATTAGCAGCCTGAGCACATACACAAAGCAACACCGCATGTTGAGCCAAGATGTTTTCCTGAGGGAGACTTTTTGCTAGCTTCTACATGAAATGGATTCACATGCATGATGTGTCTTTGGTGCAGAACCAACCACAGTGAGTAGACCATGATGTCTGGATGAGAGACTAAGGATTTTAAGTGCATATTTCTGTCTAGAATCCAAGTGGCCACTGCTACCATTAGCAAGCTGCACCCTTGGATGCATAACTTGCTTACATATCCAAGGGTGCAGCTTGCTTATGGATGGATAACAGCAAAATTCACTGGGTGGCAGTGAATGGCGTTGCAGGGGCCATGCTGAACCAGCTGAGTGCATGTCAATGGCCCAACAGTGGATAGGTGCTGACCTGCTAAGTGGTTTGGTTTCATAAGTGACCCTTTGGCTGCTGTACGTCGTAGGTCCTGGTGCCCAGAATACCTCATACTGACATACTGGTATTGATCACATTTGTGTCCATCAAAATGAAATGTGAATTTGACATGTAATGTCACAGTTTTATGACATAGCTCTGAGTTTTATAAAAACCGATTACTTTCAAATTTGGAGGCTTCTTAAACCAACAATGTATAATATAATGGACTAATGTCTATAATTGTTACAAGTTCACAAAACTAAACAGGCTGCGTGCAGTGGCTGACACCTGCAATTCCAGCACTTGGGGAGGCTGAAGTGGGAGGATCACTTGAGTCTAGGAGTTTGAGATCAGCCTGGGCAACAAAGCGAGACCCCCCATCTACAAAACATTTAAAAATTAGCTGGGTGTGGTAGCTCATGCTTGTAGTCTCAACTACTCAGGAGGCTGAGGCAGGAGGATCTCTGGAGGCCAGGAGTTCAAGGCTGCAGTGAGATATGATCCTAGCACTGCACTCCAGCTTGGGTGACAGAGCGAGACCCTGTCTTAAAAACAAACAAACAACAAAAATAAGATACTACTGTCCAGTTAGGGGACGAAAACAACCTACTGCCATTGTGTAAAAGTGAAAAGCTCCCCCCCAAAAAGAGTTTGATCTTACATACCTGTTTTATTGCTGACTTTTTTTATCTGTTCATCCAAGTATTCCCGCCGTTTAATGAGTGCATCTGACCACCTTTCTCTTACGCAGTTTAAGTCTTCTTCCTAACATCAGGGGGGGAAAATATTTTCCTATAGACTGCATAGACAAGGATTTCTTTTTTTAAAAAAAGATGTTTAAATCGACTAGGAAACTTTTCAGTAGGAAAAGCCATTGAACATTGCCATGTGATTAATATGCAAGAAAGCAGAGAGGCCTCAGTAACACTGCATGTTGATCAAGGATGCTGTTATCCAGAAATCGGAGCCCCTGGATCTCCAAAGTGATAATTATACTTAAAAGCAAGACAAGCTCAAACTATACCAGCTGTCCGATTTTTTTTTACTATGTGTGTATGTATATTTAAATTGTAGCTATTCATTGCAGGATTTGTGATCGCAAACAGAAGAACAGCAAAAACAGAGCCCAAACCAAGTAACAACTAATGGAATGGAAAATGACAAGCATTTTCATAGCTCATAGTTCAGTAGTCAGATAATAGAGATTTTCTGAAATGCAAAGAATAGGTAAGCAGATAACTTCAAACTTGCCACAAATATTTTACTGTCAACCACCACCGTGAGGCTAACCAAAAATCTCCCATGCAAACCCCAACATGCAGTCAGCCATGCTTTAAGAAATCCTCTAGGCAGCCACTGGACTGCACTGTCAAAAACGTGCCAGGAAGTGCACAAACAGCCGCAGGACGTTAGTCAATGGCATTGCTGAGATCCAAGGGGATAATGATATTTCCCTGAAAGTTTTTTCTTCATGGAATTACGAGTAGGGAAAAAAAATCCATCAACTCTATTAAATATGCTCTTTGGCTTGCCTAATTCAAGTTTAAGACTTAAGAATTTACATCAAGAATAGATACCTAGGACCTCTGAAACTTTACCTACAGCGTAAAGTTTATCTACATTTTTTTTTTTTTTCCTGATTTGGAGTTTTGCTCTTGTTGCCCAGTCTGGAGTGCAGTGATGCTATCTTGGCTCACTGCAACCTCCCCCTCCTGTTTTTAGGCGATTCTGTTGCTTCAGCCTCCAGAGTAGCTGGGATTACAGGCGTGCGCCACCACGCCCAGCTAAGTCTTGTATTTTTAGTAGATATGGGGTTTCACCATGTTGGCCAGGTTGGTCTTGAACTCCTGACCTTGTGATCTGCCCGCCATGGCTCCCAAAAGTGCTGGGATTACAAGTGTGAGCCACTACGCCTGGCCAGTGTACCCACATTTCACAACTAGGAAGGCACACTGAGAAAACATCCTTTGAAGATGTGTGTGGAGAATCAGTACAAAGACTGGGAACCAAAAAGCTTCATCTTGGTTTGCTGCTTTGACCATTTCTACATAACCCCACACTCCATGGTATCAGGCCAGTCAGAGCTGACAAGGTACAATCTCAGTTTGCATATCTGTATATTTTTTTCAAGATTTCCAACCAGTAAAAGCTGAGATTTAAATTCTACAGGTTATGGAGAACTAAGTATGGCCCTAATGAGGGAAGAAAGCTGGCTAAACAAAACACAATTATGTGCATAAAATGTCTTCAATTTCCTATACAGCAAAAGTCTTTTAAAATAAAATGTCATATTAAAACAATATTAGCTCTTGGATATAAGGAAAAGAATGCATATTAGCATGGGAAAGGTGAGTCTCTAAAAGATTATGGATGGATAACTGCAATATTTTAAGATCACCCATTTTATTTATTTATTTACTTATTTATTTTTGCGGGAAACTGGAGTTCTATTATTACTCAGATCAGTCTCCAGATCATCCATTTTAATACAGTAACAATGATCTTGCTTAGCAATAAGCCAGTAAATTGAGATGGCATAGCAAAAAGGCAACTATTTGATTACAAACTGTGAACTGACAAGGAAACCTAAAGAAATAGTATTGCATTTGATTACATATAAAGCAAATCAAAAGCAAGTGAAAAACTGCATATTCTCGCTCTAGGACCCTCCTTCCTCCTCCCTGGTCTCTGCTTTGCAAATGCTGGCAATTAGCAGTAGCTGTGCCCCATGCTGCAGGATTGACAGCAGTAGCAATACCTGATAACTATCCATATCATCACCATCCTCATCATCTCTCTGGTAGGAAAAAATAAACACAAAGGACATGCATTTTGTTTTTCAAACAGCATACAGGGAAAATAATTCTTTAAGCTTAACACACATTAAAATGGACAGCTCATATAACATAAGCATAATAAAATACTAAATTCAATCTCAAAAAGGGATAATGGATTTAATTCACTTGTCTATAATTTAAAGAATTTTTTACATAAAGAAGAGAGTCAGTGAAACATAAAAACTTGGCTGGGCTCATGTCTATAATCCCAGCATTTGGGAGGCCAAGGCAGGAGGATCTCTTGAAGCTAGAAGTTGGAGACCTGCCTGTGCAACATATCAAGACCCCATCTGTACAAATTTTTTTTTTTTTTTTTTGAGATGGAGTCTTGCTCTGTAGCCCAGGCTGGAGTGCAATGGCATGATCTCAGCTCATTGCAACCTCTGCCTCCTGGGTCCCAGTTCAAGCAATTCTCCTACCTCAGCCTCCCAAGTAGCTGGGATTACAGGCATGAGCCACCATACCCAGCTAATTTTTGTAATTTTTAGTAGAGACAGGGTTTCACCATGTTGGCTAGTCTGGTCTTGAACTCCTGACCTCGTGATCTGCCTGCCTTGGCCTCCTAAAGTGCTAGGATTACAGGCATAAGCTACCACATCCGGCCTGTATAAAAATTTTTTTAAAATTAGCTGGTAGTGTGCACCTGTAGTCCCAGCTACTTGGGAGACTAAAGTGGGAGGATCACTTGAGCTGAGGAGATGGAGGCTGCAGCAAGCTCTGATTACACCGCCACACCTCAGCCCGGGCAACATAGCAAGACCTTGTCTCCAAAAAAATAAAATGAAATAGGGCCAGGCATGGTGGCTCACACTTGTAATCCCAGCACTTTGGGAGGCTGAGGGGCGGATCATGAGGTCAGGAGTTCAAGACCCGTCTGGCCAATATGGTGAAACCCGTCTCTAGTAAAAATATAAAAATTACTTGGGCGTGGTAGTGCATGCCTGTAGTCCCAGCTACTTGAGAGGCTGAGGCAGAAGAACTGCTTGAACCTGGGAGGCGGAGGTTGCAGTGAGCTGAGATTGTGCCATTGCACTCCAGCCTGGGCAACAGAGAGGAACTACATCTCAAAATAAATAAAATAAAATAAAATAAATAAAATAAGAAATCTCTTAGCTGGGGATAGGAACAAACATCATTCAGCCAGGCCTTACACCATTGTCACACAGACAGGTGATATGTATTTTGGGGAGACTATTTGAGATTTGAGATAGGTTTAGGAAGACAGAATGGCAAAACTACAAGAAAGATTCTCTTGCCCAATCTCAGTTTGAGCAATGAGGCAACTAAGCCTTAAAGGATGAAATGATTTAACCTTAGGATCACACAAATAATGGCAGTAAGAACTATAAGCCATGCCTGTATGAGGTCTCTAACCTCAGTTGTCTTCCCTGATGAAATCATCCCAGGGGAAAGCTGGGGAAACCTCAGGCTATATACACACAAGAGTCTGTACTACACTGTCGAAATAAAAGCACAGCATACTATTTGTAATATAAGGATTTGTCAGTATTCTCCATTGACCATAAAATCACTTGAGAGAAATGCAACTGTTTCAAACACTGCAACATTGTAAAATAACTAAAGAAAGTAACAATTTTTGCAAAAACATTTGGCAAAATAAAGTAATCGTGTTGAAAATAGAAGGGCGTTGGTTGAACAATTTTCCTTAGAAATAAGAATCAAGAATCCCTTAATTTAAGATTTGTAACTACAAAAGTGCTTTAAGAATATAGACAGCTGGGCATGGTGCCTCACGCCTGTAATCCCAGCATTTTGGGAGGCCAAGACGGGTGGATCATGAGGTCACGAGGTCAAGACGATCTAGGCCAACATGGTGAAACCCTGTCTCTACTAAAAATACAAAAAATTAGCTGGGCATGGTGGCGCATGCCTGTAGTCCCAGCTACTCGGGAGGCTGAGGCAGGAGAAATGCTTGAACGCAGGAGGCGGAGGCTGCAGTGAGCTGAGATTGC